TTTAGGGTTTAGGGTATAGGGTTTGCTTTCCGTTGTTGGCAGGGAGAGGCAGGAGTGGCACGGTTGTGCCTCAGTCCTTGACAGGTGGGTTAAGTTGGGCTCCTTTGTGATATGCAGCGTTTTGGTAGGATTTGCAGAGTTGTTTGGGCTTCTAGAAGTCCCTACACGCTAAATTCGGCCTTAAACCCCAAGCCCTAAACCCCAAAAAACCCTACACCGTAAACTCCAACCCCTAAAACCTTGAAGTTGTGAGGCTCAGGGCTTGGCGCGCAAGATCCGGATTGTGTGTTTTCCCTCCACAGTCATGCAGGCATGTTAACTTAGAGTGTTAGATTTTGTCAACCCTTGTACACAAGTTCAAGGAACTTGCATAAGCCGCATAAGCCTATCTTTCAAGCTCCCAGGTCATGCTCATTCCGAACTTGGCCATCCACCTGCAGAGCGCCGACGAGCGAAAGGTCCGGACCCCCAGGGGTGGGATGCCGTGCTCCACTAGGGAGTTACCTGCTTGATATACTACAAGCTGTTTTAAACCCTAAACCCTAAACCCTAAACCCTAAACCCTAAACCGCAATCATCAAGGCTCCTGTGTTGATTTGGTGCTTCGGAAGCGGGGTGTGCAGTTGAGTGTTTGGGCGTCGTAGGGGGTTTAGGGTTTAGGGTTTAGGGTTTAGGGCATGAGCTTCTGAATGTGGGGCTGTCGTAAAGTGGGTGGCTTTTCAAAAGGGCTTTAGGCCGTTCGATAAGAAGGATACTCCCTTAACTTAGTATAGGGTACTTATGATAAGGAATCCCCAAAATAGTATTGGTAATTATTGAGGCCCCTACATAATACTCCAATGGCCATTATTAATTAAGTGAACCGTAAGCCCTAAACCCTAAAAGGATTCTGGAAAGGATACCTGGCAGGGAGGGTGTTCTGGTTGAGACCTTTATTCTCAGGTCCTTCGGAAGGAGCGTCGGATTTATGTATGTCCCTAAACCCTAAACCCTAAACCCTAAACCCTAAACCCTAAACACGGTTCAGAGGTTCCTGAACCAGGGCCTAGGATTGGAAGTGGGGGGGGTACCCCAAAGGGTCCAAACGACCCAGCAGTTAAGTGTATCAACAAATAATAGGTTCGGAGAGTAGTAAAATGGGCTAGAGTTTGGAGCAGCATCTAATTTCAGCGTCCTTTCGTGTATAAACTAAACCCTAAAGCCTAAAGCCCTAAACCCTAAAGCCCGAAACCCCCAAACCCTAAATCCTAAATCCCTAATCCCTAAACCCTAAACCCTAAACCTTAAAGCCTTAAACCGTGAAACCCTAAATCCTGAAGCCCTAAAGGCCCTAAATCCTCGCCGAATCGCCACCGCTCCTGTTGGCTCAACCAGACCCCTTCTTGCTTAGGCCGAGGTTTAGGGTTTAGGGTTTAGGGTTATCACAAAGCTTCGGGAAACATCCGGCAAACTGAAGAACCTAGCTATCGGATCTTGAGAACGTAGGACTGGTCAGTAGGGTTTAGGGTGTAGGGTATACTTGAGCTGTATCATCTTAGCGGCTTCGTGCTTAAGTTCCAGGGCCTTTGTTCTACTTGCTACCGCGAGCCTTGTAGATTCCAGACAAAAGCGAGCTCAACCCTTGCAAGTTTCTTCATTGCGGCTTCGGCATAAGGGACGTCACTTTTGTCCCGGATCGCGTCTTCGCGATGGGGCAGGCGGGCATTGTCTAGGACGTCATCTAGGTGGGTAGTTACCGTTATAGGGGCTTTATAGCAGCCCTGTATACCCTAAACTCCCCACCTGTAGTTTCCTTTAACATTGGGTATCTCTCTTGAAGAAGTCCTCAGGCCAAGACCCCAACCCCAACCAACACTTTGTCAATCCCTACATCACCTAAAACTCTAATCCCAAGCCCTAAACCCTAGGCCCAAACCTTGAACCCTAAAACTCAGACCCTGAACCCTAGTCCCAAACCCTAAACGCCAAAACTCAAACCCAAAGCCGGCAGCCCCACACCCAAATCCGCAGTCCCATCAGCCCTGCCTACCGACCCGGCAGACTGAACCCCAGCTCCACCGGTTAAGATTCGGCTCTGCATCGCTGTGTAGGTTTACATAGTTGCAAAGATCGTGAAACAACAGCATTTGCTGGTGGTGGTGGTGGTGGTGGTGGTGGTGGTGGTGGTGGTGGTGGTGGTGTTGAAGTTGTAGGTGCGTGCTCAGGCTCCTCATCCTCAGCTCTTGTTAAGCTGTGCTCACGATTCCTCTTCGGCTCAAGTACGAAGCAGGTAGCCTATGCTCCAGGGAACCTAAACGGGACAACAGCCAAGCCTTGCGCATTGCACACCCCGAACATCTCCACGTTGTTTCCTGACCCGGCAAAGGCTTGCGCTCCAAGCAGAACAGTAGCCACGAGGCAATCCAGCCGAAGAGCCCTCAACTAAAAGACCTAAGCCCCAGAGCCCTCAACTCCAACCAAAAATCCGCAGCCCTGACCCCTAAACCCTAAACCCTGGCGCCCAAGCCCAAAAGCCTTTCAACATCTCCCCAGCAACCGCAATTCTGAGCTGCAACGCCCAAACCCTAGAATCCCATGCGCCGAAGCGTGGACCAAGGACAAGCCCAGACCCTAAAGCCTCAAATCCGAAACCAGAACCCTACAACCCCTGTAGGCCACAGAGGAAATCTAGGAAATCCGAAATTGAAGCCCGTATGCAACTCGATAAAAAAAACAGTTTTACATCAAGACAGCCTGGCATGGCTGAGCCATCGGTTTAGCACCGCCAGCGTGCTGAGAGTTTGCTCAGGCACAGATGAGGAGTTTAGGGTCATGTGTTCAAGGTTTTGGGTGTTACCCAAAAGGCCCTAAACCCTAAGCACATTACATACGGTTCTGGGTTTGGGGATTGAGGTCTTAGGTTTACCCTGCGCCAAAACCCTAAACCCTAAACCCCAAACCCCTAAATCCTAAAACCTCTTATGGCTCGAATACGTCTGCTGATCCATGAGTACCACGAGGAAAGCCCTTCTTTGGAGAATCTGCAGAAAGGGTTTAAGGTTTAGGGTTTAGGGTTTAGGGGTTTCGGGTTTAGGGTTTAGCATTTAGGGGTTCAGGGTTTAGGGTTTAGGGGTGTAGGGTTTAGGGGTACGGCATCATGTGCTCTGAAACCGTCACCCCGGCATGTCCTGCAGGACCGCCATCCCGGAGCCGAAGCTCAAAGCATCTAAGGATTCACATGCCCCCAGACGTGGGAGTAAGCAAAGATGCTCCGGCTCTTCCGAAAGGATGAAACCTAGACCCGGACGTTTAGCCAATGCCCAATAATGTAAGTAAGGGCCTTAATAATTAGGATAGTTCTTTAGGGTATATGATGTTTTTATCATAATGAGGAGCCCCCACAATGGTATTGGTACTTTCTGAGGCCCCTATATTAGCTGCTTAAAGCCCTAAAACCCTAGACCCTAAACCCTAAACCCTAAAAGGATCCTTAGAGAAAGGTCGGCCTGACCGGACGGGCATGACCCAGATGATGCGAGGGCGGACGCGTCTCGGTCGCCCAAGCATTCTGTGAGAGCTTTTAGAGTTTTAGCTTAGTGGCTGAGTAGGTAACCTTTTGGGGTTTATATAATCCTACCATAATTGAAAAGGTTAACCATTTTTGGGCTAGGGTACTCAGCCCCTAGGTTAGGGTTCTTAGGGTGTTTAGGCTCTAGAATTATTGTGCGGGTATAGAGTTTAGGGGTCAGGGCTTATACCATCTATTTAGTTTTCGGTCAATAGGATGAGAGCCTTAACCTGGAAAGTACTAGATTCCGAGCTTGTTGTAAAACGGTGTATTCGGATTTGCCTCTGCATGCGCGTGTATTCTGATTCCTATTTACGGCTTGGGGTTTGGGATTGGCAGAGAGGTGTTACGGGCTTTCGGGGTGCTCCTGTATTAGGCAACATACCAATACCTAAACCCGCCAAAGTACGTAGGATCATGGCCCACAACCTAGAAAGGGCTATTATTCTACACACGTTTGGGGGTCCAAGTACGTCCAGATCAGAGTTCCAAGCATCCTCTTGGGGGTTCGCGTACCTGCAACACTAGAATACTGTGTAGAGCCTTCAAGGACCATTGAAAACCCTCACGAAGTCCTATAAGACCGTTAAGTTATAGGCACATAACCCTAAACCCTAGACCCTAAACCCTAAACCCATACACCTACCTTTTGTTTGAGGGTTCGGCCATGGCCTTTGCGGGTTTTGCATGAGGGTTGTTTCGGTTTAATATAGGGGCCTTACTAATTAGAATAGAGTCTTGAGGTATATTATACTATAATTACATGAAGGAACTTGAGGTATATTATACTACAAATTTTGGTAAGGAGCCCCAAAACCCTAATTTAATTATTAAGGCCCCTACATTACGTTGGCAATGTGCTAAACTACGAAGTTCCATCGAGCTTTCAGTAGAACTTCTGGGTTTAACATCCTTAAGCTATGTATCCCTTATGAAGGACTATGGAGTTTAGCAGTTTAGGGTTCAGGGTTTAATTAGGGACCGGCTACAACTGAAGCAGAAGCCTTAACCAATGGTTGGAGTCTGACAAACCTTAAACCCTAAACCCTAAACCCTAAAACCCTAAACCCTAAACCGAAATTGGGTTGGTGACACGAGACTTCGACATGATTCTTCCCAACAAGATATGAGATCGGTCTTGTCGAAGTATCCTAAGCCCTAAACCCCAAAACCCTCAAATGCTAAGCTAACCCCTCAACCGCTTTGAGGGTTTAGGGTTTCGGGGTTT